AATAATAACTTTATGTATAAAGTGCTTTCAGACAAAGTGCTGAACAGTAGCAAGAGATAAAAACACAACAACAAATCAAATGCAATAAAATAAAGTAAAACATTAAAAGTGAACAAGTGAGTCTTTAACTTTGCTTTAAAAACCTCCACAGAACAGGCCTGATGTCCTGAGAGAGTTTGTTCCACAGAGAAAGGAGAAGGCTCGTTCACCAATAGTTTTTCTGCTGGCTTTTAGAGTTAATAAAAGGCCAGTACCTTCAGATCTGAGAGAACAAAGTGGAACATAGGGGTGCAGGAGGTCAGTGAGATATGGGGGCACCAGACCATTTAAAGCCTTGTAGGTGAGCAGCAAGACCTTAAAATCAGCTCAAACCTGACAGGGCAACCAGTGAAGAGATGACAGCACAGGGGTAATGTGGTCATATTTCCTAGTATTAGTTAAAATGCGAGCAGACACATTTTGGACCATCTGCAGAACTCTAAAACAACCCAGAAAGAAGAGAGTTACAATAATCGATGTGTGAAGTCACAAATGCATGGATAAGGACCTCAGCATCATCAAATGAAAGAATGTGCCAGATTTTGGCAATGTTAAGATGATAAAAGGCAGATCTTGTAACTTCCTTTAAGTGAAACTCAAAAGAAAGCACAGGCTCAAACCACACGCCCAGTGTAAAAAAAAAGGAGCGTAAAAGAAGGTAAAAACAGAGCAAATCTGCAAAAAGAGCAATGTTTTTGCAATAAAATTTGAAGAGAGCTAATTTTTTTTATTGGTTAAGTTTTTTTTAATAAGGTTAACTTTTTAAAGTATCAAAGTCACAAAAAACAAACCCTAACCTGCTTCTGTATTTTAATCTGGATTTAAGCTGCTGGTTTTAGTTCACTGGAGCATTAAAACTGAGCCGTCATGTGATGTTTACCAACTTTTTAGCTGCCAACATGGTGGCTGTGTTCCACTCACAAACAAGAGCCTTTGAATCGCTGTTTTCCATCAATTAATCATATTTACATGGATAGGAAGAGCATTTAATTAACAAMCAGATGTCAGAGGACAACTTGATGAAAGCCTATCATTTATTATGTTGTAACTTATTTTATTTGTTGTAAAATAAAAATGATTACAGCAGAATGGCTCAGTTTCACATTATTAAAACACATGGTCACCTACAAAATGTTTTTGTTGCATGACCTGCTGTGATGCTAAAAAGATATCTGGCCTAAACTTTGAGATTCAAAACTGTCTTAATGGRCTGTTTGTTACCAAGAAAGTGGAAATATTGTTTTCTAAAATTTGGACAACGATGTTTGACCAAGCTTGACAAAGTGAGACATCTGTCAGTTGAGCAAAGATGGTCTAATATAAAATGTGTGATTTTGTGGTTTGGGCAAGTATTATTAGTGTTTTTTTTTTATCTATCACCATTTATGGAGAAACACTGCTGGTGTTAAATTTTATTCTTTGTAAATCAATCTTAGAATAGATTTGTTTTTTTTTTTTTCAGAACACATTGTGTAGTGATGTCTCATCAGAAGGTAATTTTGTCTTCTGCTGTTTTAGCAGGATGCATCTGCACACTTGCAGAAAGCACCGTTTCAACGACAGACACAGGAAGTTTTAGAGCTCTTGAACTGACTGTTGATGTCATCTGAGATGGTTTACATACTATATTTCGGTAATGTGTTTTATATCTTCTATCAGCATCAAACTTGACTTTTTGTCACATACAAAATGTTCACTCTCTGATCAACAACAAACATACATACTGTATGTTTAAAAGTCATCTCTTACTGTGTGTTGCTTTTTGTTTTTCCAGGAAATTGACAGGAAATGAGAGTTTTGTTGCTAAAATTTGATGTAATGATTGCTGTTTATTGCTAAAAAAAATGACCAGAATAAGCAAAGATGTCTTTAAAAAATACTGACACGAGTTTCTGTAGAAGAGGAGAAATAAATCTGCTTTTTAAAGGAAAAATTCTAACTTACCAATATGAGGTTTTTTCCACAAATGTACAGAGTGACATGGGTGTGACATACAGCGGGTAAAATAAGAATTGAACACGTCACCATTTTTCTCAGTAAATATATTACTAGAGGTGCTAATGACATGAAATTTTCACCAGATGTCGGTAACAACCCAAGTGATGTCCTGATGCATCTCAGTAATCC